CCTGAAAACTAGGTCAACTCCTAGCCCTAGAAAAATAATTAATAAGGGTTGGTTTAAACACGCTTAATTCTGTGGACTGAACCCTGTCCCCCTCCAATGTAGACAGGGAGTTTGGCAGGATTACTCATCTTTTTGAACTCTTGTTGAACAATCCAGCCTACTTCGTACCTACCAGATTGCCAGGCTGTAACTCTATGCACAGAACCTGCATTAGTTCTCTGAGTACCAGGATGAGATGCCCCATTCCTCAAGCTCTAAAAGTGCATTTCCCATTAACTATATTAAGGAATCAATGTTATGGAATCCTTCAAAGGAACTCTTTAGAAAGGAAAACTGCAGTATCACCCTTCTCCCTTCTGGCCTCACTGGAAAGAAGATCTAGGAGAACTACTCTCAGTTTCCATCTATGGATTTAAAGGAACAGGACATATATCCTCCCATTTTCTGTGTTGTTAATAATTTAAATATTTGAATTACTACATGAGAATATTTTAAAGGTTCCTCAGTGGGGAAAAAGGATGGGAGAGAGTTTTGAACAGAAAGTAATGAAAGAAAAGGTCTTACCACTGATTCTCTCATCTTTTCTGGGAGTGGATCTGCTGATGAATCTTCACATTGTTGACGTAGATAGTGAGGGACATATTTGCATTGAATAAGAGACCTGTTAAAAAAAAAAAATCCCAGTTAGGATACTTCTGAACCTGTCTAACAGATATGAATATTCCTGGGGGTCTGAGGAACAGCCTCAGATTTCCTTCCTCATAAATGGAGATTGACACAAACCAGCTCTACCTGTGATCAGGGTAGAACTTTCTCATCAAAATGTTAAGGAGTCTCAGCAGCCCAATCAATGCGAATCAGTCATTTAGAGGATGGAGCAGAAAGGGTTCTGTTGCACTCATGCCCTTCATTAATGTTTCAGCTAAGCTGAAACCAATATGGGAGCTCTTTAGACCCACATTAGAAAGGCCAAAGAAGCTATTTCTGCATAAATTGTATATTAAACCTCAGTTCAAGACTTATGTGCTACCACCTCCTCCATCTTGAAGTTTATGCCACAAGCCATCCCTTAAATACTGTTTCCAATCTCCTTAGCTTCCTTTAATTAAGTTCAGAGCTGTTTTAAAAGAAGATCTTAAACCTTTTTTTAAGGATTATACATTTTTATCATGATTGCAAATAAACTTTTGATGTTCTTGTACGCATTCTTAATCATAAGATATTTAACAACCATTTCAGCTGCTGAAGATTTGATTAAGAATGTTACAAAATCAGTAACTAGATTTAAAAGTTGAAACGGATTTAATGGCTTAAGATTACTTCCTTAAAACAGAAGTTCAAAGGAAAGACAAGTTTCTGGTTTATTAAAGAAGTTAATGAACTGGTGTGTCCTTCCTGGGGAGTGGGAGAGAAGAATACATTTAAATTACTTCAAAATTGAAATAGCTCACACTTCCATGCTGATTTGCAATTTACCTATGTATATTTTACTCCAAGGCTAAACAAATCTTCCTACTACAGCACACAGCTTCACTTCCTTCCATAATCGAGTTCCATACTGCCAGGGTCAAAACTACACACCACCTACACAAAGTTTGATCCAGATCTAATTGACATCAGTTCCAGACACAGTAGGCTTTGGATAAAGTTAATGGCAATAGATAGAACCAGTTCTTGTGCTTTGCCACATCAGAACCTAGTAATGTATAAATATCAGATTGCCTGAATCTTCTAGATGGTAAAGAAGGAATTTCTCAACTCTTCAGTAAGATTTACTGGGATGCCAATTTTCTACTAGAGCCCTATATCCTTTCCTTCCTCATCAGAATTCTTCTCCTTTTCCCAAGTTTCTCTCCTCAAATATAAACTTGAATGGCCTAAAAAGCCCTCCACTTCCACCTTCTCTCTCTTACATTACAGAACTGTGTGTCCAACCACACTGACCTACCATACACCTACTACAGTCTTCATACACTAAAAAGCCTCACTTCAAGGTACACAACACACCTCATGAATCAAAGGGGTTTCCTCACAGGCCCTCTGCACTGTTCTAGGATAAGACTGAGCTGTCTATGAAGCAGAATCCCAGATGGCATGATGATACTGGCTGCACAAAACCCACTTGCTTGCTTAATCCACAGGCACACACACAGGTCCCCAGATGCTTATGGACCACTACAGGAAACACAGCCTGTGCTCCTACACAGGAAAACTCACACCTGCTGCCCATAAGATACAGATCTATGGGCCTCTCACATCACCTCAACCTGCAGATCGCAGTGCTGGGATTCCTCCCCTGGATCTCCCTTGTTTGCAGTGTCGGCTCTTAATACACTACCTTTCCTCGTCTGCCCCTAGCAGACTGTGTCAGAACAGAAAAGGAAGGAGTTAACCTCAAACAGAGGCATAGCCTACTGACAGTGACGTACAGCAAGAGCTGGAATTGAGCCATCTTTCCAGCACACCAAATGCCCTTTCTCCTTGCCACAGTGCTACCCAATGCACATTCTGCAAGTCCAGTAGCCTAAGCACCCCCTCAGCTAAATCACTATCCTCCAACATGGTAAGCACACAATTTCCCAGAAAGTGAAATCTGCTTCGGAGCACCAGCCTTACTAGCAATCCGACAGCAGCACGTCGTTTATTTACAGGACTGATACCAACCAGGCAGACATGGTGAGGAATTTCCACCTCACCACATTACTTTCAGGAGACAATCACCGTGGTTCTGAAACCCAGGCATCACTGATTGTGTGCTGTACAGCGTAATCACTACATAACATTTGCAGGCAACTTACATCAGTACAGACGGGTCACTGCTTTGTCTGCTGAGGTGATAAGAAAGTGCAACTAGCAGACCACAGAAAGCAGAGAACAGTGCTGGAATGTGTTGTGCATCCCAGGGTTCCTGAACAGAACAACAGAAAGCAAAGCATTTGTAAGTTAGGAACATAGAACTTGAAAAAAAAAAAAAAAATTAAGTAGGCTAAGCCATACATGTAGTGTTAAATGCAGAGCATCTAAATTTGTATACCATCTACCAAGGACTGAAATTCCTTTCTCATATCAAAGTCTATTATTGTGAAAAAGACTGCAATCAGAGGCATGTTCTGTGATCATATTATGTAATTCCTCTATAATCAGCAATTAGCTAGGAAATCACATGAAAGGCAGGTTTTCTTTCCTCTTTAATGAAACACTAGAGGCAAATTCTCATTAAAATGATACGCGAGTGAAATGAACTGCACTGTATTTGTCTAAACTGATAAGTAGTTACTTGACCTGTGGCCAGATTGCATGCAACAAATGCCATTGTCACCTAAATCAGGCAGCGAGGTACTGTTCTGGCACCTCACTCGGAAATCTTTCTGCTGCTTTGTACGTTACATCCAGGCCCTGCCTGAACAATAATACAGCAGAGAGGGAGAGCACTCGCCACCATACGTGAGATCCCTGAGTAGGGAAGGAAGAGGCAATTTAGACACTCGCCAGCATGCTCTGGGCATAACCAAGATTAGAAACTGTCTTTGGGTGACTTAAACAGCTAAAAATGGCTAGAAATAAGAAGAGAAAGAACATGAAGTTAAGGAACACTTATCAAGACCAGCTTCATCTGTGGAGTCTTCAGCTATGAACTAGGGATCCTGACATACTTGCAAGTCCTGGCCGTAAAAGGACACTAATTTTAGCTGTGAAGGACACAGAAACTTGGTGGATCAGATCCATAGCCATTTCACTTATTAGATTTGTTCAATGCCTCCACACAAATTCTACCTGATCAACTGCATGTGAGGTCACCAGATCCTGACATCAGAGCGCTTTCTAGGTAGGTTTTGAGACACATTTGTAGCATCTGTGAAACTTTAAGGTAGTACAAAAACAAGGCATCTTCCACACCATAACTTTTGCTTGAAAAACTTCACAATTTGTACAAGACCAATACTTTCACACAATAAAGTAGGTTTATTAGTCTTATTTTGCTCAGTGATATGCATGATTTCTTAGCAAAGCTGACTCACATTAAGAAACACTCAATTTCTTTGAGGTGCAATGAATGCCTCACTAAGACAAACTAATTTTGTTTTAAGGGACAAACATCCAACCCACTGCAATGTGAGGTTTCTTTGGAATGTAATCCTGAAATTCTTGTTATCCTAAGAGTTGTATCACAGAAGTAAAATTTTATTTCCAAGAATCACCTTCTCCTCATCATCCTACTGAACATCACAAAGATGAAAGAGAGAAGTGTCTAGCTCTATCAAACAATCCTACTCAAAATAGTCATTACAAACACAAGAGAGAGTTACACGATATTACTGAAAGAATCCAGCACCATTTGTTTGACAAGTTAAACTTTGCCATCCAATTCCACTCTTCATTTCACGGTTCTGAGTTTGGGGCCAATTACATTTTGGGTTAGCTTCTCCCATGCATAGACTCAGGTGGGAAATTCATATTCTTCAAAACATGGAAGAAAACTAACTGAAGTCAAAATGTTCTGAAAATGGCTGAATCACAGCCTATTCAAATATCCATTGCATTTCCAGGGCAATACAACTGCATACAAATGTACCCAGCAGCTTCTAGTGCATGATTTCTCCTTCACCCTGCAAATTCTTTCAAAAGCAAAATACTGTAAAGAGCCCAGGAATATATGTGGTATTGAAATGTATCAGTAGCCAGTTTGAGAAATCATTCTGCCCTCTTTCTACTGTAAAACTGCACATGGCTGATTCCCCATATTAATGTCTCGGGAACCTTTTACTTCCATATTTTCTATATATTACACACAGCTTCTGCATTTGGCTAGCCTGTGTTGCAGTTCCAAAGTGTTATTGTCCCTCAAAGCTCAGCTGTCAGGGAGCTAGGAAGGCAGGCAGGACAGGCATCGATATTTGCTATGTGCCTAGAGAGCAGGATTTTCCAGAATAATGCTACACAAGGTTGTACAAAAGATGAGAACGAACAAAGGTGTCATTTCTCTGACATCAGTGTGATGTACCCTGCTCCATTTTGTCATTTTCCTCCACAACTCATGATGCCTGGTAGAGCTTTAAATTAAAAAGATGAAAAAAAAATATAGCTGATAATTGGACAATGATTCTTCTCAGTGGGAAAACAGGAATGACAAGTTTTAGTCTTGGAAGCTGGTATTATCTGTCATACTAGACATGGAGTTTGACTTCCTACTTTACCTCATTTGGTTGAGATGACATGTAGTGCTTTCATATACAGTTTTGACTTTGATGCAGACACTCACATAGTCATTTTTTAAAACAAGTGAAAGGGACTTACAGGGTTAAGGATGAAAAGTGATGAGTTACAACAGACCCAGCGGTTGAGGGGTGGGGGGGTATTCCATTCCAACCACAGAATCTCCTAATCCCAAAACAATCCACTAAAAAGGAAGATAAAGGTGTCTTTGAACTTATGAGCCTTTTGCCACTGGTAGACATGGGGAAGCAAATGTATTTTTAAAAAGTGGTGATAGTAGTTTTCTGTCCTATATTATTTATCCTTTTTGCTTCTTTCTTCCCTTAGAAAAAAAATAATGCATCTAGCAAATTTATCTTTCACAGATATGCTCAAATAAATCATATGTCCTACTCCAGAGACAAAAAAGGGCTTTGAACAGAGAACAATTTGTGGTAAGAAGAAATTCTTGTTACTTTTTTTTTTCCCCCAGAATATTCCTGTCAACTCAAGAAAGACTTTGCAGATTGTCACAGCACTAGCATTATTGAAGGTGAAGGTGTTTGCATAGTGGCTGGCTTTTTAAATATGGAGGCAAACTCCAGCTGCTCTTCACAAAGCACACATACTTTCTGATTTTCCGTTCTCTTATGATTTCATCATTATTCATAGAATCATAGAATGGTTTGGGTTGGAAGGGATCTCTAAAAGTCATCTAGTCCAACCCCCCTGCCATTCAACCAATCTTTCTTTGGTCTTTCTCCTTACATCCACTCCCCAGCTTCGTCACGGATCTACACTATTGCTCGTATCAAACAATATGCAGGACAGCTGTTGGCAGTCAGCCATTCCACACATGTGATGGTAAATTGAAAGAAATACTATAATCCAATTTCTGAATATATAAAATACTTTTAGTGAGGTTATAAAAGGGAATCCTCCCTACCCCCAAAGGTATGAGAAAATGGTAACAGCATCTTGTTTTCTACAATGTTAACTATAAGCTTAACTATATTGTCATGATCTCTCATTTTCAGTGAACATTAAAAACCACGAAATGTGAAGTATTCATGAGCCTTGTGTTACACTGGTTAGAGACAAATTTTAGGGAGAGATGCCCACCAGCCTTATCTTCCCATCCATCATTCATGGAAAACAAAACATTACTTTCCCAGAAGAGCTCCAAAAACTTGGCAAGTGATAAGCTTCCAGAATACAGATATCACTGTCTATTCTGAGCAATGTTGTCTCTGTTTCTCTGCATTCCCAGCTGCTCTCTGTGACCATATTTTCATTGCTGAAATTTAAATCCATTAGGATGGGACAGATGAAGGGGTGTGCGTGTGTGTACACACCACCTTACACAACAGGGTCCCAGCCTGTGGCTAGGATTCCTTGGCTAGATTGTAAGATGAGCAATAACTTCAGGCAGGGGCCATGGATACTCATGTTTCACATAATGGTGAGTTTATCCTAAAAAAGAACTGCAGATTTCTACCTTCCTATACACTGTCATACTTCTGTAAGAGTAACCCTGGGCCATATAGGATTGTGCAGGCACAATTTACTTTTTCTGTTATATCTGGACAATAAGTTCTTATTACACACAGAAAACTCAGAGTGTAACTACTGAAGTTATGTCTAAAGTGCAAGTCTGACTATGGCTGCAAACATTACTCACTGAAACGTGTGATATCTGACAATTCTCTCCAAAATTAACAGTCCTAACAGCTCTTGCTTGAACCTCAGGGGTTTCTAAATTGGAAAGTACATAAAATTGATGAGCCTTGTCTTTAAAACCTCTAACAGGTCTGGAAGTATTTTATACGGTAGAAACAAAGCTCTCTAATAATCCTATACTTCTATTTGTGGTCACTTACACATCAGGAGTTCTGTCTATACACATGGGCCCATTCAGTGCTGTTCAGGAATTTATTTGGGCAGTCTTAGCAGATTGAGAGAGACATACGCTTGCAATTCTTTCCCATTATAAAACCCTAAGACACATATTTCAAAATTATTAGTACACAGATGAAGCCTGCGTTATTGAAGACAGGAATCAAGAAACATTGTTATTCTGATTAATGAGTTTAAAACTCATTAAATAACAAACCAAACTATACCAGTGTGAGCTGAGAATGGTTTAAAATACACACAGGATTTTTAGTAACTGTCCATTAAAGTGATAAATAAGTTACTAGAAAATACTTTCTTCAGGTATAAGGTAATGGAAACTACATAACTTTAAAAAAATTATGCACTTACACAGAGCTGCAGGAGGCAGCTGTGCCACATATGAACACATTCACATCTGTTTAATTTTTCTGACCCAAGTCTAAAATCTGAAATTTCTCCAGGCTGATTAAGACAAACCGCAAGTTCCTTAAGCAGTTTAAAAAAATAACAACCACTAAACAAAAAAGCTACATGACAAATAATTAACCGATTCCAGACAAGTTTCAAAAACTTAAAATGAGCTGATTGGAACAGAAGGCAGAAGAGGAGCGACTGATTCCAGAAGCCTCCAGGGATGAGCTCTTCTGCCCCACAGCAAAACACTGATGCTCTGGAATGTTAAAGACTGATATCAAGATGGCTAATTCCAGACTGAATATTTGTGGAAAAAGTAGGAGGGCATACCTTAAAAAAAAAAATAAAAAATCTGTTAAATATTTGGGCACAGACCACAAAACAGATGGAGTGGGAGACAAAAAT